GTATCCTATAGATATTGCAACTCCTTTCGCAGGATCTGCGACGGATTTCGAAATGTCCAACGAATAAATAGCTTGTCCCAGCGATCACATCAATTTCTTCTTAATTCCTTCCTGTGCACTTGTAGTGGCAAACTTTAGACTGTCATACCGCGCCGAAAAACGTCGGTAGGAGGGCTGTCAATTGGCTTTACAAGTCAGTCCTCTGGCGGCGGAGAGTCAGGCTGCAATCGCGTCTTCGCCCTGTAGCTTTTATGACACACCCACTCACGTGGAATCGGAGTCACCACTTTTTTGTTCGTGTGAAGACCTTAGCCACAGTGCTGGGACCAGGCATTTGTAGCGCATTTAACCGGGTTGGTCGTTTTGGCGACCTCATGATAGCAAAGATTAGAAAAAAGGTAGGACTGTAAATGAGGCACAGGTTAACTATCTCTTTCTTTGTATGTCTATCATTTTGTTTATGGCGTACACAATGGACATCGTAAGTAACGATGGTCAGACTGTCATAATAGCAAGTGACTCTATAAGCTTTAGCATCTTACATACGCGAGTCCCTTCATATCATCTGGAGCAATCTTTGGCCAAACTGAGCCTCAGTACTGAATGCAGATTTGGCAGGTCGTTGAACTTGTTAATAGACTGGGGGCCTGTGAACCATCACTCAAGGAATTCGCGACTCACACGATTGTCACCTCTTGCGAAAATGTCGGCCTCATCAAATTCGAAAATGAGGCCGGATTTCGTTGAATGAGTCGCAACTTGAAAATTGGCGTCGTTCTCCACACTGCTGCCACGTGTTCGGCAATTCGCTTTTTGAGAAGTCTTCCAGTTGCTCCGAAGTAGTTGCTTTGTCCGCAACTGCACCAGATCCTATGCAGTTGCGCCACCAGATAGCCGAGCAATCATGTCCAGTTCCACGCCGTGTGATGAAAGTTCAGCAGGTCACGGCCTGCACGCCGGTCATCAAGCCATTAGTGCAAAAGCGGGTAATTTTCCTCGATAGCAGGGAGTCTTTAATTGCCAGAAGTGTTCCGTAGCATAGTGACTGTATCCTATAAATACTGCAACTCCCTTTGCATGAATTACCCATTTCTGCTCCTGTCTCTGGGGGAGGATCTGCGACGGATTTCGAAATGTCATGCGAATAAAAGTATTGTCTCAGCGATTAATTCTTCTTATTGTCTTTTTCGACGACAGAGCCGGCATTTCGAAGGTCCAAGAGCCACTTGGTGGATCCTGTCGACCCACGGTTTGAGCTGACATCCCCTTCGCCGTCTCTATTTCGGCAGCAGCATCCTCTGATAAACACTGAAAATTTTCTGAACCCGTAGTGTACGCGACTAAAAACAGCACCAAATTCATGTTCAAGTTGTCATTCTCCTTTGGTCTAAGATCTTGTCACAACCAGTGCAGACTATTTCCTTTACGGTGAAAATGATATACTCAAATGGTACTTTGCGGCATCTGCAGTTGTTGTCCATCGCGCGGACGTAGTTTTTAGATCCTAGATTTGATGCGAGCACACAAACGACAACAGCATTTAAACCATAGGCCTCTCCAGTTTGTGTACCCTGCATCGGCTTGACACCACGAACCCTGCCTCGGAACCCTGATCTGACTAAAACGTGCTCAACCCAGCCGATTAATGACGACTTTTAAATTTTATGTAAAAAGGTGTTTGCGACGATGTTGGTGACAGCTAGGCACTTCTGGTCAGCAAAATTTAACAGTCTTTACTCACTGTCACGTCGAGAAGTAGGTGGCTGTTTCAAGACCGGCTGTATCCGACCATTCCAGCCCCCGGAACAAATCAGCGGGCGATTTTGTTTTCAGCTAGGGTTTGCATTCTACAGGTCTATGCATTCACCAGCATAAAACAGTCCTTATTGCCCTTCATGTCGCTCTAATTAAAATTATTTTTCATGCTTTGTGGCTTTCTACTGAATTGGAAGTCTTTCCTGTTAACGCGCCATTGAATTCATTAGGATTTTCTGACGTTTATGTTCTCAATCTTTCGAAGAGTTTAGAACTTGTAGAGTAAATCGTTGCGGAAACTATTATTTGTTATATAACGCCAACCAAAAATCAACAGACCTGTTCGTGATCTAGTAGAGGAACAATTAAGTTCCACTTTGCCCAGGAGCTTACAACGTGGACCCACCAGACCATGATGATATGATGAAGTGGATCCGACAAGGCAAAGGGAGACCAGAATGACCATTACTGGCTTATTAGCCGTCATCAGCCAGTCATACCCAATCTCAAGGGTCGGAACCCCCGAGATTTGAACCCGGGACCTTTGGTCATTGAGTTCAATACTCTACCTCGGCACCGCGGGTTCTTTGCTTTGTCGGTTGAGATCGGGAATATGACGAATGTATGTGTTTCGCTGATCTAGTAGAGGAACAATTAAGTTCCGCTTTGCCCGGGAGCTCACCTCGTGAACCCACTGAACTTCTTCGTATGTACTGAAATATCCGCATCCCAAGCGATACATTTATTGTTAACGGTAAAATCCTTTGCGAAGGAATAATGTTTATTCTGTGAATTTTCGAGTCTGGTTCCCCCGTTCGTCGTCGTACAAAAGAGTGTTGCAAAAACAGCCAACTCAAAACGATGATTAAATAGAAGATTCTACGGTGGGTCAACATGTGGGGAGATAATCGTCACCCGCATTTAATTATATGGTCAGTGGGGAAAATAGCTGTCATCCGCATGTAATTATACGGTCAGGGGGGATAGCTGTCACTCGCACTTAATTATGCTGTCGGCGGTGGCTGTTTTTTCTTCGATTTGATATTTAGGGATTTGTAGTTAACGTCCAAATCAATATGCCTGTTGATGCATGCCTCGTTTGAGTGCATTGCCTCTGGGAATTCTCGGCTCTTCCTAGTTGTGCAAGCGCCAACAATTTGGGTTCGCTCCCATGCAAATGTGTCCTGTGTCCAGTGTGTGCATGGCAACCTCCGATAGGTGGTGTCGTCTCCTCACCTCTAACTGGTGTTCATGTATAGGGTGGATAGAGCTCGCCCGGTTTGACCACAATAGACTGCATCACAACTGATACACGGTATTTTGTAGATGACTTCCTTTCTATTGAAATAGCCAACCCTGTCCCTAGGGTGAATAAACTGGGTGCGAAAAGTAATAGTTCCTTTAAGAATATATTTTTTGTGCCCTGATTCAAAGTTTTTCAAGTAATAACCTTCACGTGCTTTCGCTTTTCTCGAATTTCGTCTAGGAGAAGGAATTTACCTATCTCTTGAAGGAGCGTGTCTGCCCTTTGGTTATTAAGCTCCTTTCCCCAATGCTGCCCTCCGATTTGGCCTATGCAAAGTCAAATGCCTCGGCGACTGGAGACTCTGCTGGAGCCATTGGCGTGGCCTCTATAACTGCCTCTGAATTCGCTATCAACGTGCGACTCTATCGCATAATCCTGCTCCTGTGTTCCAAATATTTCAGTTGCTTGGTAAGCTTACGTCGGCTTTGAGCCGTAGAAATTCCATTTCTGACATGAATTGTCATTGAGATGTTCACACTCTCAGTGTTAACATTCATTTGACATAACTGTGGTTATTCCTTGTCTGGCCAGTTCAGAGGTTTGGACTCACTTTCTTAATTAGCTGCGGAGGCTGAACACCGAAGGGCCATTTAGAGTCCCGTTTAGAACTGTCATTCTCTTCGGCGTCTCTAGTACCGGGTACCGGTCAGAAATACCGAACTCATTTGGCAGAGGACAAAGAACGTGCCAAACGCACTTCGATTTCCATTCTCGAATTACATAAGATATCCTTTTGGTGTTGTCACTCCGAGTCTGGACCGTCTCATCCGAGACGTAGGTGATGTACTCAAATGGCAGTTCTTCGGCGCCTCCAGTTATTCGTCATATTCCACGCACACAGCCCATGTACTTTTTCCATCTGACAGCGACTTCATCCCAAGACGTTTAAACTTATTCACTTTAAGCTGACATATATAACTAACTAGTTACGCTCTTTCGTGGGTATTGATGTGGTTCAGGAGCACTTTAGTCTCCCCTAGTGTTCGTGTATAAATTGAATGATCACGGTATTTCATTCATCCCCGAGAGTACATTTTGCGGGTCACTGTGGTTCACTATCGTCAACGTAGTCGAACTCCGTAAGCTAGGATTCGGGGGGTGAATTCGACACTGAAGATCATGTAGGTAGTCGATATCTTAGTTGAACAGAGATGGGTGACAGAACGCAACCTTACGCTTTGCTAGCTCTGTCTTATTTTTCTATTTTGTAGAACACAGAGTGTGAGGTTTTTCTCTCCTCAATCATTCGCATTATTGAGGGTGAGTATCCTCCTTGGCGCAAAGCCCTCGCGATGGAAGTCCTCTTCAAAGTCATTTCGCAGCCTGATCTTCTCCAGTACGTGCCCACCACTTTCTAGTGTTTGTGCTGACGCCTATTTTCGTAGTATTGAAGTCCTCTCTTGGACATGTCGCTTTCGATTTTACTTACTGCTTCTGACCTTTTTGCAAACTAAAACTAGTCCTTAATTTAAGTCAAACGGCGGTGCTATTCCGCTGTTCGGCTACCTTTAGAAGTCCTTTTTTGGTTGATGAGTCTAGCCCCTGGAAATCAGATCTCAT